TAAACCCTAAACCCTAACCCGTACCATGGGGTAGCAGCCGGCCCACTGCGCCCGATTCGACATGACCCCTTGAACTGGGAGCTGCAGTGCTGCTCAGTGCTTCGGAGTTGAGGGTTCGGGGTTTAGGATTAGGTTTAGGGTTTAGGGTTTAGGGATAGGTTTCCGACATGATTTCTGTGCGGGCTTGACAGAACTGGGTGCGAGACGTGAGGAGCCAAACTTAAGCGCTAAGCCCCTGAACCCCTGAACCCCTGAACCACTTACCCCCAACCCTTAACCCTAAACCCTGAACCCTAATCCCTGAACCCTAAACCCTAAACCCTAAACCCTATACCCTAAACCCTAATCCCTAAACCCTAAACTTCAGGCCTAAAGCCAAGGAGGTCATCATCAGCTCCCGACCAGAAGGCTAACCCCCCAGAAATCCTATAGGATAGTATATTATAGTATATATTATAGTATATATTATAGTATATATTATAGTATATATTATAGTATATATTATAGTATATTATAGTATATTATAGTATCATATAGTATATTATAGTATATTATAGTATATTACAGTATATTATAGTATATTATAGTATATTATAGTATATTATAGTATACTATAGTATATTATAGTATATTATAGTATATTATAGTATATTATAGCTTATTTGCAGCGGAAGGTTTTCAGGAGCCCGGAGCACGCTAGAGAACCCTTCAAAGGAATTGCGGTTTAGGGCTTAGGGTTTAGGGTTGAAGGTTTAGGGTTTAGGGCTTGGGGTTTGAGGTTTAGGGTTGAAAGGACCCCCCAATTAAAAGAACCAGACAGAGCTGACTGAGGTTTCCTCGGCTTCGCTGTTTGGGACGAAGCCGAGAAGATCGTGAGCTGGCACACCGCTGCCACCTTTGAGGCATCTGGACTTCAGGGTCGGTCAGATTGTTTTGGGGGTTCTTTCAGGTTCTCGGGGGGTTAGGGTTTAGGGTTTAGGGTTTAGGGTTTAGGGTTTAGGGTTTAGGGTTTTTTGGGGGTTCTTTCAGGTTCTCGGGTGTCCAGGTCTCTTTTTTGGTATGTTCTAGTCATGGGTTTGTATATGGTTCACAAGGGTTCCTTCTACGAATCAGATAACAAGGGTGCAGCTTCGGGGCTCTTGGGATAAATGCTTTGGGCTCGGAGGTTCTGAGGTTCACATTTAGGGTTGAAGGGTCCATGGGTTGAAGTCGTTAGGCACGGACTTTCGTTTGAGTTCAATAAAGATCGTTCGCGGGGTCGCCAAATGTCCAAATGCCGCAAACAGACCCTGGACACCACCCCTAAGCCCTAAACCCTAAGCCCTAAAAACCCCTAAGCCCCAATCCCTAAGCCCTAAAATCCCTAAGCTCTAAACCCTAAGTCGTTGCAAGGCACACGAATTTGGAACAACCCCTCAGCCCTGGACCTTACACGCCAAACCCCGAAAGCGTAAACCCTGAATGCTGCTACGGCATGGGTGAAGAAATCCCGAAACCGCAAACCTTACACCCCTGCACAACCTCTAAACTTCAAAAACCTTAAACCCCTGAGCCCCTAAACCCTCAAGCCTAAACCCCTTACAAACCCCAAACCCGGCCCAAAACGGGCTTTGGAGCGCAAGCAACAGAAAAGGCCATTCAACAAAAAAGAATAAACCCTCCAACCCATCCTTGAGGCAGGATGTGCCGAGCCGGACCTCGCTGAGGCGCTGCAACAGTGCGCTGCCAGAGCGGCGGCGTCGCCAGCAGCGACGGAGGAGGGGGGACCGGGGTTTAGGGTTAAGGGTTAAGGGTTGAAGGGGTTAAGGGTGTAGGGTTTAAGGGGTTAAGGGGTTCAGGATTTCGGTGTACGGGGTCCATCAAACTACAGGCATGTATATAGGAGTTTCTTTCTTGGAGTACATCTTCGGCTTCTTGTTTGAGGCTTCTCTAAACGCCCCATCATAAGGGACGCATCGGGTCAACCATAAGGCCTCAACATTGACTGCAGAGAGACTTTTCATCGTCCATTGATCCCTGGATGGGCACAAAGGGATGTCGGGCCCGGCTGCGTGTGGTATTTAAGGTTCTGCTTCAGGTTCGAGCTAGGGTTCTATTTTTTGTTCTGTCATTATTCACAGTGTAAGGTTTCATTGTTTTTTCGAAAGCTGGTGCAGAACGATGTCAAGGGATTCGGGTCTAGAAAGCGCCGTAGCATCGTATGGAGAAAGAGGGCTTTGTCATTGTCACGGTTTCACCGTGTTTTGGTCCGAATTTCTTGGATTTTGCCCCCTAGTCACGCTAGTCGCTACCAACACTTATGCCGACGGGTTCTTGCACCTTAAAAGATACGAAAAGATACATACATAATGTGGGGGTTCCTTATTCTGATTATATAGTATAATGTGCCCCGCAACCCTCGGCCCCTATATTACGCATGCTTGTGCCCACTGCTTCGGACCAATGCCCGAGGCTTCCACACGCCGAGGTCCAACAGAGCCTTGCCAACCTGGACCCTAAGCCTGCAATCCCTAGACCCTAAACCCTAAACCCGAAACCCAAAGCCGACAAAAAATTCGGGCTTTTGGGGTTTAGGGTTTAGGGTTAGTCAGAAGCCGCCATCTCTCCTCTCTCTCTCTCTCTCTCTCTCTCTCTGAGAGGTGACCCCAGGATTTTAAACCTTACCCCTTTAAATCCTAACGGGAGTCCGAAACCCCTGCAGCCTAAACCATGCCTTTTCTCCGCGGGCATTCTCTTGTTTTTCCTCCTGAATCAGGATTTTGCAGGGTTTGGGGTTATAGAGCCAGAGGCAGAAAGGGCTTGGGGCGGTGGTTGGGGATTCAGTTTCGGGCCTAGGGTATAGGGCGATGGAATGCTTGAAACTGTAAGAAGCTCTGACCGCAACACCCCAAAACCCTCAACTCTGAAGCCTAAAGCTTTGATCCAAGGGAGCATGAGAACAACAAGCCCCCCAGGGCAACGAAGAAGTCCCACCCGTATGGGCCCTAATACAGGGGCGTTAATAATGCTAGAGTATTATTATTATGATTATGATTCTTATTTGTTTTTGTTTTTTGGAAGTCCGTACTACAATTATGATTATTAAGGCACCTACATCATCGATTCCCGGACAGGACCGCGGTCGGGTAACCTGGAAAGAGGAGCGGGTTGTCGAAAGTCATTGTGAGGTTGCTGGACCTTCGTTCGCTAGCAGACCATTGGGGACCCTAAACCCTAAACCCTAAACCCTAGAACAAGTCTCACAAACCTCGGTTGAAGAATCGTTTCTTGATGCCATTCGTTCACATGCTTCAACAGGAACCCGAACTGCAAAACTCCAGCCAGCCGGCCAAGCATCTCAACCCGAACTTGGGCAAGAGCATACCTTTCTCTTCTTGTACACAACGCCACGACATAGAAAGAATCCGAGACCCAACACCCTAAACCCAAAGCCCTGAACCCTGAACCCGGGACTCCTAAGGCCTAAAATGTTCTTGAAAGAGTTTTGCACGGGGGAATCCTAGCACCTCCAGAGCTCCCCTAGAAGGAGCCCAGTGCATGGATTGAGACGGATCCAGACGGAGGCAGCGCCGTGCTGGAGGTCGCTTGTAGGCCTCAGAGCCGGAGTTTGAAAGCCCTAAACACTAAACCCTAAACCCCTAAACCCCTAAAAACCCCTTGAACACTAAACCCTAAACCCCTAAACCCCTAAAAACCCCTTGAACCCTGAACCCTAAACCCCTAAACCCTAAAAAGCCCTTGAACCCTAAACCCTAAACCCTAAAAAGCCCTTGAACCCTGAACCCTAAACCCTCCCAAACCCCCGAGCCTGTCCGACGAGCCCTCAGGCCCAGAAGCCCGACCTCTCGAATTCTGTGGGGGGTTTACCTGCCACTCAGGGTTTCCTCTTGGAGATTCTGTTCAGGATCCCAATATCTCAAGGGTTTAGGGTTTCAGGGTTTTAGGGTCTAGGATGGTCGACATTGCGGTTGGTTAGCTGCTTGGGGGGGGGCCAACGTGGATTTCACCAGGGGTTCTGTTGCAGTGCGACGTTGTCCGGGCCCTTCGTTTCTGCTTGGGACAGTTCGGACGGATCTCAGATGTAGATGCAGCAATGCACGTCGTCCTTTGCAGACAAACTCGCCGATCTTCGCCAACCCCCCAACCCTCAACTGTATCTTGCAAGGCCTTGTAGTAGCTAAAGCCAATCCCTCATCGATGTTTTTTGCTGTTGGACGCTGTGGTATCGGGCTGAAGATTCAGCAGTCTCGTGCTTGATACTTGCACTTCTAGGTAAGGAGCCGCAGCCTTTGACAGAAAGAGCAGCACAAGGGCTGCGTCATAGAGGCCTAAGCACGTCGGAATTCTATTCCCTTGTAGCCCCTTTATAATTACACTTATAACTTATAATGCCCTAAACCCCAAACCCCCAAAACCCTATTGTAATTATCACGGCCCCTATGTTCATCCAGGAGCTCTGGTTGCGCCGGGAGGGCTCGAGAGCCTCCAGCGACGAGGCGATCATGCTTGGGTTTCAGGCTTTTTGGGTTTTAGGGTTTGGGGTTTAGGGGTTTAGGGGTTTAGGGGTTTAGGGGTTAAGTCGGGTTAAGGGTTAAGGGTTTAGGGTTTAGGGGTTTAGGGTTTAGGGTTTAGGGTTTAGGGTTTAGGGTTTAGGCGTTTAGGATCTGAAGGTGTTTTCAGTCTTGGGTCTGGGTCAGTGCGTTGGGAGTTTACAAAATTACACTCGCGGCTGTCTGGTGCTGTTTGGGAGTTCGTAGACCCAGAACCTCAGACTAAAAACCCTAAACACTAGATCCCTAAAGCCCCAAACCCCCTCCTTCAAATGTATATTCAAACCTTGAGGCGCTTTTCACACATCTGACCCCCATGTTGAAGCCTGTTCCACAAATCAGGGACCAATGTTGAGACTTGTTTCACGGCCTGTTCCACACATCGGGGACTGATGTTGAGCGCTGTTCCACACATCGGGGACCTCAAGGCTGTAGGCAGGCTTTAGGTTAGGATTTAGGGCTCAGGGCTGTGGGCTGGCTTTAGGGTTTAGGATATGGGGCCGTGGCTGGCTTTAGGTTTAGGGCTCAGGGCTGTGGGCTGGCTTTATGGTTTAGGCTGGCTTTCGGGTTTAGGTTTAGGGCTCAGGGCTGCGGCCTGGCTTTAGGGTTTAGGGCTCAGGGCTTTGGGTTTGGTTTAGAGTATCAGTTCTAGCCTTGTAAGAGTGACTGATACTATAGCAACAAAAATTGTTCGCTTGAAGTGATGCTATGTGTAATGATAAAATGTTGTATTCCTCAAGGTTTTGGGATTCTCTGGGTGGGTGGGTATTTGTCTATATGTTAACTAGCGAGCTCGACTACATACTGCTCGACCAGAGCTGCTGAATCCTAAACCCTAAGACCCTAAACCCTAAAACCCTAAACCTTAAACCCCTAAACCCTAAACTCCTAAACCCTAGGCTCTAGACTGGAAGCCCGAGACTCTGAACCCTAGACTCTGAACCCTAGACGCTGAACCCCTAGACTCTACACTCTAAACCCTAGACTCTAGACTCTAGACTCTAGACTCTGAACCCTAGACTCTGAACCCTAGACTCTGAACCTTAAACCCCTAAACCCTAGACTCTCGACTCTAGACCCTCCTTTCGCAGGCAGGCAGCGGCTGCCGCATCCGCCCGGCTGCCGACGGCGGCAGCGAGCTGCTCTTGACTTGCGAGGAGCGGCTTTAGGGGCTTTGGGGCTTTAGGGGCCTTGAGTTTGGGGGTTTTAGGGGTTTAGGGTTTAGAGGTTTAGGGGTGGTTTCGGGGTTCGGGTTTAGGGATGTAGGGTTTAGGGGTTTAGGGATTTAGGGGTTTAAGTTTTTATGATTTAGGGGTTCAGGGGCTTTGGGTTTAGTAGTTTGGGGTTTAGTGTTTCCCTAAACGGCACCATATGGGTTCCTCTACAGGGATCTATGAGGGTTTAGGGTCTAAGGGTTTGGAGTTTGGGGTTTTGGGCTTTCGGCTTTGGGGTTTAGGGCTTTAGGCTTTCGGGTTTGGGCTCGAGGGCTTTCGGGTTTGGGGTTTAGTCTGTGAGGATTCGGGGCTTGGGATTTCTGGATTCAGGCAGAGTGCTTCGGGCTTGTGAGGAGCACTTTGCGCACGTGCTGTGCCCTCGCGACGGCACCGTGAAGTTTGCCATGGGAAGCACCTGGGCTGACCTGCTTCAACCGTCCTTTTCCAGCGATGTCCCTGCAGCATCATGACAGCAGGCCCCCCATTGAAGGAGTTTCCGCCCAGAACACGAACAGCAACTGCTGTCGCCATCATCCTCGTGATGACCATCATTTGAACCACATCCAGAACGAGTACAGAAGTGATCCCAACTAACATGAAAATGCGCCGTCGTCGCTGCAGCAGCCGCAGGAACACCAGTACTCGCGGCAGCTGCAAAGGCAGCAGTAGCAGTGGCAGTAGCAGTGAGCCGGACTGCAAGTTAACTCAATGACGACCAAATGGAGCACCCCCAGGGGTTGGTCCGTAACCTGCTTAGTGGGCATGACTACACCGACCGTTACTGGAGGTTAATGATGACTGCAAGAAATTGTGAGCCGCGCCATTCCGGCGCGAGCCTCCACGCGCAGACCGTCCCCCTTTGTTTGCCAGCTGTGGTGAAGGGTACCGTACACGTGTCAACTACCCTCGTTTTGCTGCTTTTCTTGTGCAGCCATTGCTGGATTCGCAGCCTCTGAGGAAGGGCCTGCCCTTGCTAGTGGCCTAGAGACGTTGCAATGCCTCCGCGAGGTACGGCCTCGGCGTCTATTGGACAGCAAAGTCACAAGCTCCGTCTAAGTTTGCTCCTCAACCTGTGGCCAACATCCGTGCAGATCTACAAATTTTCACACTAAAACCGCTGTCAACGATCAGATCAGGCAGGTGAAGTTAACCCTGCACCCCAGAACTCGACTAGACCCTCAGACCTGCAACCCCCCCAAAACAGATGGTGTTAATCCTGCGCAGACACCTTAAAGGATCTTCGCCCTAAGCCCTCAAGTTTTTCCCAGGTACCCAAGACTGGCGGGTGGAACTCTCTACGTCACCCGACATGCAGGGGCAAATCCTGCCCCCCTGGCACTGAGGATGCGGAAGAAAAGAGAGCTCGCGGGTTTGGGGTTCAGAGTCTTACGGCTGATGACAACCATCCTGCATTACTTATAATAATAAGGAATGTACCATAATTCCTACAGTTAGGGTCCTTGAGGTAATGCAGGGCTTATATCATCAACGGTAGGTTTGGGGTTTGATGTGGGGGGTTTTGGGTATCGACTATATGTACTCTTGCCTATGTAGTGAAGCCCAGAGGCCTTTGATGCTTTAAGTCGCAAAGCTCCATAACAAGAAGGAGAAGGCCTTACCCGTAGCTCAAGGTTTAGGCCCAGCAGCCCCTCTAAACCCCGAACCCACACCCTGAACCCAAGACCATCGCGTCCCACTCTTGTCGGTTGTCAGTAATTTGCACTATTGGCTATTAAATCCATTTTTTTAAATGCTTGACACAATGATGTACGGTTTTCGTGCCCGAGAGGCTGAATGACAAGGAAGTCAGGGTACCCTAAATACAGATTCGCAAGATTCAACTCTCATGCTCCTGGGCCCAAAAGCGCTGAACCCTAAACCACGGAACCCTGAACCCTGAAGCATATAGCGCCTCAAAGCCCAAAGGGGTATATGATAAACCCTAAACCCTAGACCCTCAACCCTAAACCCTAAACCCTAAACCCTAGACCCTCAACCCTAAACAAGGAATCGACGCCAGCACCGTGGCGCCTTCCTCGGCCCCTGCCCCTGCGCCCGCCGCCCGCAAGGCGCCCCCGGGAGTCGGGGCCTTGGAACGAGGGTCCTTTCAGGGTTTAGGGTTTCGGGTTCAGGGTTCAGGGTTCAGGGTTTAGGGTTTAGGGTTTAGGGTTTAGGGTTTAGGGTTTGGGGCTTAATATAGGGGCCTGAATAATTAGAATAGGGTTTTGGGGTATATTATACTATGATTATAGTAAGGAGCGCCCAAGAGAGGGTCCTTTAAGGGTTTGGGGCTTGGGGTTTAGGGTCTGGGGCGTGGGGTTTAGGGTTTACTGTAGAAGTGAAGGCTCAGGGCTTAGGATTTTGGGTTTAAGGTTCAGGTTTTTGGGGTTCAACAAGAGTTCTCTGAGGGTCCTATAAGATTTCTTCTAAGGGTTCTGGGTTTGAGGCTGTAGGTCTTCTGGGTGTAGTGTCTATCGGCTTTGACGGCATTCTGGCGCGACAGTGCCTTCAGATAGCTTCGCACTTGAAGCTCTAAAGAGTTGTGAGGACACATAGACAGTCTACGCAATCCCTGATCCTAAGCCCAAAGTCCATCTAAGGCGAAAAAACCCTAAGAACCCTCAGAGCCCTAAAGCTATAATCCTGGCTTCGGACGCCGCTTTGGTTCCTTTGCTTTCTTGCAGAGGTTACACCCAGACTGCTGGCTCCGAGTGAAACCCTGGAGCCCGAAAACTCAAAGCATCTCCAGCCTTTTCCCAAAGAGGGTGTAGCGTTTAGGGTTTGGGGGGTTTGGGGGTTTTGGGTTTAGGGTTTCGGGTTTGGGGGTTGAAGGGTTTAGGAACAAATCTTTCCGTGAGAGCCCTTGGCGGTTTATGCAGGGGGGGGCCTCCTTGACCATGACAGGCTCCAGCAAGGCCCTGCAAGGATCTAAGCAAGAAGGCAGCACCCCAAAAAAGGTATCCCGCTACTTGTGCGGGTGAAGATATACTAGTAGGACCTTGTGGGACATGTTCTACTTTTTAGATCTCTTCGCGTGCCTGGGTAGAGTATTTCAGGCTTCAGTTGTAGGGTATAGGGCGTTGAGCTTTTGGGCTTGCAAGGCTTTTGGGGTTTGGGGTATAGGGCCGCAAGGATGTTCTGCTAGACTCTTAGGGTTTGTCGAATGGTCGTCGATATAAAACAATATCAGCTCCAGAACGAACAGAGGCAGTAGGCTCGACACCTCAAAGCCTACACTCTACAACATATGCCCCAAGATCAACACCTCATGCAGAATCTACTCTGCTAAGGCTAGGGTCTAAAGTCGAAGTCGAAAGCCTTAGACCCTAATTCTTAAATCGTCAGCCCCCAACCTAGGCCCAAAAAGCGCTTTAAAAGCGGGAGTCCAACAGTCGACCCTAAACCCTAAACCCTAAACCCTAAACCCTAAACCCTAAACCCTAAACCCTGAACCCTACCCAGGAGAGCCTCTACAAGGCACCGCCGTCGATACACAAAGCACCTCCAAGTGAGTGGCCGTCCCTGGGTTTCCGAATCAGCAGGTTTTGGGTTAAAGACCCTAAACCCTAAACCCTAAACCCTAAACCCTAAACCCTAAACCCTAAACCCTAAACCCTACCCTAAACCCAAAACCCTAAACCCTAAACCGGGCTTAGGGGTTGGAGCATCCTTGAAGGTGAAGCGCCTTCAACAAAATAATCCTAAGGCGACCTTTGAGCTGCAGCCCCAAAGCAGTAAACCCCCAGAGTCCCAAAACCCCGAAGCCCCTGAATGGGAGTTTCCGACAACTAGGGTGCCTTATTTTGGGGGTCCTTATAAGAAGGGTCCTACTATTTAGGGTGCTATATTAGGGTCCCCTATTTTCGGAAACCCCCACATACACCCTAAACCCTCAAACTCTTCAAGCCCCACATCCACCCACAGCCCCTTTTGTGGTACTAAAGCCAGCAAAGGGTTTTGTCTTCTAAGATAGGAGCCCAAATACTTCTCAAGACCATCTTGGGGGTTCCTCATTATAAGTATAATGGAATGGGCCCCCCAAAGCCCTATTCTAACTATGAAGGCCCCTACATTAACCTTGTACCGAGCCCCTGAAGTAGCCATTTAAACAGTCGTTTCAGGAACCCCTCTGGACCAAGGCCCAAGGAGTCCTCGCGACCTCCGGCGCCGCCCTTGCCTACTCAGGTTGGGCGGCTGAGAGTCTTGCGGAGAAATAATTGCCTACTATTTTGAGGGCTCCTTATGATAATTATAGTAGAATATTCCCCCCCAAAACCCTATTCTAATTATTAAGGCCCCTACATTGCTGTGATCCGGACAAGTTGGATTCAACGAAGGGCAACGAGTCGCTCTGGCGACCTCAGCCGGTCTGGGCGCGCTTTTGCGAATTCGCTTACCAGCATCATGTCACATGCTACATACCCACAGAGCTCCCTGGGACATCATATAATAATTATAGTAATAAGTATTAGTCTTAGTATTAGTATTCGTATTTGTTCCTACATCTTGAGCCTTTACACCCGAGACGTTTAGCAGACGGAGGGCTAGCAACCCAAGCAGTAATCTTCGCAGTCGCCCCGATTTCCACCCAGCCTGAAACTCCCAACGCCCGATGGACCCCGAGGCCCGCAGCGCTAAGCGAAGCCTTTCCGATCCACACCCTTAGGCCACCCTACCCTCTCAAGCAAGCCCAGAAGACGATGGAAGACGATGGAACCCTCAAGAAAACCCCTAAGAATCGGATTAGGTTGGTTGGTTGGGCTTAGGGTTTAGGGTTTAGGGTTTAGATCCAACGCACTTCCAGTAAGCCCAGAACCTGAAAGCCCGAAACAACCAACACCTGAAAGCCCAGCAAAGCCCTACACAGATCCCTAAACCGTCTGCACGTTTTTTTGTCTTCAAATTCCCAGACCTTTTTTTTCTCCCCCAGAAAGCACCGTGTAGAGACTGTGCCAGGACGTTCCGCCGACCTCGAAGCCTGCGCCGCCGCAGTTCAAGGCCCGGCTTTGGCATGCAAGGTTGTTCTGGAAACAAACGAACTACTGCGGTCTTTTTATTCGGTCTGTTTGCTGTAGCATGCTTTTTTCTTTGGTTTTCGAAGTACGGTTTTTCATGTACAGGTTACATGGTTGATATGGTTCGAGTTCTATGCGCATCTCTAGGACAGACGGCTTTTGCGAGGTCTGTCGAATCAGCTTGGGCCCCTGATAGCGGCATCAGAGCGTCTGTAGTTGTGTTGTAGTACGACCATACCGCTTCAAGACTATGAGGGAACACAGGACAAATGTAGGGTCGGACTACGTGTAACCGGTATCCCCTTGTAGTCCCTATATAACTCTTTACAACATTGTTCTATTCTAGTCCATTCTATTCCTTTGGATTACATAGGACCCAAACCCACATTGGTGCTTCATCTGTTGACCCTAGACCCGAAAGCCGGGCCCCCACTCTTATCCCAACCCCTGAGGCCTACGAGGCAAGCCCTAAACCCTATAGATCCTAAGCTCCAAACCCTAAGCCCTAAACTGAAAACCCTAAGCCCTTTTTCGTAGCCAGAAGGCTACAACCCAACCCTTCAACCCTAAAAGATCCTACCTCCCTTACACCCTAGACCCTGGAACCATAAGCCGGTCTCCGAGTCGTGGGGCTTTTCACCAAACCGGCTCCAGCGGGGAGCTGCGTATTGGGAGTGGCTTTTGAGGGTCCAAAGCCTGGGTGGTTTGGGATTTGGGGCTTCTTTGTGCTTCAGGGCATGAAGGAGTCTGCAGTTGAGCTTTATGCTTGCATACCGGTCTCCCTAGCTCTGGCAGACTAAACCCTCAGCCTTACATGCTAAACCTTGCACTCATCGCATAGTTGCCCCATCATGGCCCTATGAGAACCCTTTAGTCAACAAAGAGGCCCCGCCCACGCAATCGATGGCCCAGCCGGCACCGCCTTCGACAGTGCAGACGAGCAGCCCCCAGGCCCGGCCCCAATGTGGAGTTTTGTATTTAGGTTGGGGCCCGATTCTACTCCGTAGATAAGCAGAGATGCACCATAGAATGGAAAGGTTGAAGTTGGGGGCCATCCCAGGTAGTGGAGGCTTGTTCCAAAGACCTAAGCTAGACATTTATACCCAGAAGTTTAAACTTGAGAGGTGTTGGGGGTACTTCGATAACATGAGAGATAGGGATCACGTCCAGCTCGAACGTCCGAAGTTCCCAGAGAGCCCACTAGCCGCAAGTAAGGCCTATGCCTTACATTGAGGTGCAATCCTGAATGTATGAGTCAACGAATATTTCTGGATTAAAGAGTATAGGGTTCCGGGACAGGTTTCATTCCTCTTGGTTTGGAAAGGAGCCCCTGTAATCCTTCGTTGGAACACAAAATCCCCAAACCTCTTGAACCCTAAACCCTAAACCCCTCGCCCCTTGAACCGTAAGAGCTAAAAAAGCCATGGCCACAAGCCCCCCACGCTGCGCCCTTAAGCCCTGCATCCCTAGAGCCCTCAGCACTGAAACCCCTAGAATCTAAGGTAGAACCCATGGGCCCCTAGTATGGGCCCTTAACCCTGGGACCCTAATATACCTACTATATACCCTACCTTAAGAACCCAAAACCTACTTTTTTGTAGGGTCCCTATAAATCCCATATTAGGGTTTATAATAAGAACCTACAAAAAAGTGGGTTTTGGGTTCTTACCCTATATATACTCTTAAGGGACCCTGGAATCCCCTAAGGGCCCATGTTAGGGGCCCATGGGTTCAGCCTTAGATAGAAGGTTGCAGCTCGGGGCTCACGGAGCTTCTGGAAAACAGAGGGCTTCATCTAGGGTTTAGGGTTTAGGGTTTAGGGTTTAGGGTTTTAGGGTTTAGGGTTTAGGGTTTAGGGTTTAGGGTTTAGGGTTTAGGTGGGCTTGAAATGAGGCTCAGCCCTATCTGGGCCCAGGAAGCTCAACAACTCCGAAGACCAAACCCCCCCCCAACAAAACCTGGGCTCCGCGACTGTTTGGGGAACCCTAGTATGGAACCCCGTGGTACCCTTAAAGGGAGCCCTGTTCTTTAATTGTAGAGCCCTAGGGTTTTTTCCCGTACTTCATCCCGAGGCATTGCACCGGGACGCGGCTCAGGAGTTTCAGCGGTTTAGGGTTTAGTTTAGGTTCTTGAAGAAGGAAATACGCTGTTCCGGCGGGAAGGCTGGCGGCAGGCCTGTTTTGAGAACGGCACAGTGCAGCGGTGGATGATGAGGATCCTAAACCCTAAACCCTAAACCCTAAACCCTAACCCCAAACAAACCGTTGGCCGAGTCCGGAGCCTTTGAGGTCGCAGTTCGAGAGGTCAGCGGTGTCCGCGGCCGGGGCCGCGCGACGCAACATTCTTGAACTGGCATTGGGGGCCCGGTTCCATTGCTTTTGGGTTTAGGGCCTTTTTGGTAGTTCTCGAAACCCTAAAACCCAAACCATATCGCTGGTTTTTGTGGCTAGGGTTTATAGGTTGAGGTTTTGAAGGTTTCAACTTACGAACCCAGATCATTCAGGGATACCTACACTAGTCCGCATCCGGAAGGAGTCCCAGCCCTTCCCGTTGCAGTACTTCAAAAATAGCCCCAATCCCAAGACCCCAAAACCGTAAACTCTAAAACCCTAAAACCCCACACCCGCAATCCTCAGCTCTACCCCCCTAAGGCCCCCTGCAGCCCAACTCCGAAGTTGGAAGCGGGTTTCGTCTCCCGGCACAGACACGAACAACCTGCCCTTGCTCACAGTCTCGTCAGGCCAAGCCGATTATTCCAAAGAAGGCGCCGCCGGTCTACAGCCCAGAGCCGTGGCAAACACTGAGCACTGGGGGGATTTCGGGCTTGAAGGCTTGCAGCACGGGCTTCAGGGCTTTGTTTTTTTGGGTTTAGCGGCTTTGGATTTCGACGAACATCTAGGGTGTTCGGGATTCGGGCTTCGGCTTTTCACGGTTCGTTGTGCACCTCGTTAAGGTGCTTCGTATTTCCATCTGGAGATCTGTAACCATGAGCAAGAGCAAGTCAGGTTTAAAGCTAAAAACTCAGTCGGGTGGAAAGACTGGTTGAGGAAGTAGGGTTCCGGCTCACGAATTGAGGTTCACCTCCAGCCCTCCACACCGGAAACATTCTAAACCCCAAACCAAGGCAGAATCCCTAGGCCTTAAAGTATGAAGCTATCCGTCTCAAGCAGAAGCAGAAGCAGTCGTCGTCCCGAAATCCCGCGCCGGAATACCGGGTCGGTGTAGTTTTAGCATACAGTCGTCGCCCCTCATAGTTCGTAACGTACTTGTGTTTGTAGTGAAAAACACCCAGGGCCCTATGAAGGCCCCTGAACCCCAAAAACTCCAATCCCCCATGGAACCCTTCAGCAAACCCTCAGAGGAAACCTATCTAGATGAATCAGGCCTCTACAGTGACTTTGCGCTACAATCTCAGTCCCAACTCCTCGATCCCGAACCCTAAAGTCCTAAACCCAAAGTCTTAGACCCTAGACCCTAAACTCTAAACCCTAGACTCTAGACCCTAAGCCCTCAGCCCTAGGCCCTGAAACCCTAAACCCAAAACCCGGCCCCAATACCTATTCCTGAGGCCCCCGTGATACCGAAGCCCTCACCAAACGAGCAGATTCCTTCGAAGGCACCACCGGGTGGCGGGGCGAATTCGGGATCAGGGTCTTGGGTTTAGGGTTTAGGGTTTAGGTTCTTTGGGGTCGAGGGTTGGGGAGCTAGGCCCGGAGTTCAGGGTTGAAGGTTCGGAGCTGAGGGCTCTGGGTTCCGGGTTCCGGGTTTCGGGTTTAGAGGTTTAGGGGTTTAGGGTTTAGGGGTTTAATGGTTTAGGGTTTAGGGGTTTAACGGTTTAGGGGTTTAGGGGTTTAGGGTTTCGGGGTTTAGGGGTTTAACGGTTTGGGGTTTAGGGGTTTCGGGGTTTAGGGGTTTAGAGGTTTAGGGTTTCGGGGTTTAG